CACTAGATTTGGGCTGCCTACGTTTAAATTCCATCTCCAACATTTTCTAGCTGGGCGATCTTGGGCTTCTTTACCTCTCTGTGCCTCAGTTTTCCCATCTGAAAAATGGGGATAACAACAGCACAGGGTTGTTACGAGGCTTAAATTAAATATTCTACATAAAGCATTCAGCAAATTGCCTGATTGCAGAGGAAGGCCTTGATAAATATGAGTTGTTAGTATAATTAGTTATTAAATTAGTACTCAGTAGTTCAAAGTTCAATTTAAATCATACCTCTCTACGAAGTCATTACGGGTCTTCCCCATTGGTCTTACATTATTGGAATTAACTACTCTTTCCCATCTGCACCTACACCACTTAACTTACATTGCTTTTATTCTTCATTCTGTTTGCCTTGTAGGTAGCTAGCTTGCAAATCTCTCTCACTGACCATGTTTGTTCATTTCTGGATTCACTCAATCAAAAGAAGCATTTACTATGAGTCACACAGTGGGCCACAGAGGTGACTAAGACATGGACCTGCCTTCAGGGAGTTCTCAGTCCTTGGTAGCAGCAGACTACTTTGCTAAATAAATGGTTCCGGTAAGACTTAATAAATATTTGTTGACTTAAGACAAGCAGGCACTACCTTGGAAGAGGAAGATAGGCTGTATCCAGCTTAAAAGGCATTGCAGTATGTTAAAGTTAGAAATTTTTGGTGAGCCATCCGTAGTACTGACCTCTGCCTAGCCCTAACTGAAGGCCGCAGACTTTGTGTTAGAGCTCTGCTGTAACAGCACGTTGGGGACCCCCGTGATCTGTGGCCACTATGTGAGTCCTGTCTGGGACCACACTAGGTCCAAGACCTGATTCTGTAACGCAGCTCTCATTTGCAATTCAAGGCAAAGCTCCTTATCTGGGTCTCAGGAATTATATAGGTGTCATTGGTGGTTCAGAAACTGTTCACTCTGTTTTATTTTTAAAAATTGTTTTAATGGATTTTGTTTTTTAGAGCAGTTTTAGGTTAACAGCAAAATTGGGTGGAAAGTATAGAGAGTTCCCATATAGCCCCTGCCCCTAAACATGCACAGACTCTCCCAATGTTATGTGCTGAGTTATGTCTCCCCCCTAAATTCATATGTTGAAGTCCCAGCTCCCACTACCTCAGAATGTAATCATATTTAGAAATCACATCTTTAAAGGGGTGATTAAGTTAAAATGAGGCTTTTAGGTGGGACCTCAATCCTATATGACTGTGTCCTTATAAGAAGAGGGAAAGACACCAGGGCTGCATGTGCACAGAGGGACAACCATGTGAAGAGGCAGCAAGTGGGTGGCCATCTGCAAACCGAGGGGAGGGACCTCAGAGGAAACCCTGCGAGCACCTGGAATATAAGTTTTTAACTCATTTGGGTAAATACCAAGGAGCACAACTGCTGGATCATATGGTGAGAGTATGTTTAGTTTTGTAAGAAACTGCCAAACTGTCTTCCAAAGTGGTTGTGGCATTTTGTGTGCCCATCAACAATGAAAGAGAGTTCCTGTTGCTTCACATCCTCGCTAGCATTTGGTGTTGTCAGTGTTCCGGATTTTGGCCATTCTAATAGGTGTGTAGTGTATCTCATTGTTCTTTTAATTTGCAGTTCCCTAGTGACATATGATGTGGAGCATGTTTTCATATGCTTATTTGCCATCTATACATCTTCTTTGGTGAGGGGTTTGTTCAGATATTTTGCCTGTTTTTTAGTCAGGTTGTTCATTTTCCTGTTGTTGAGTTTTAAGAGTTCTTTTTATATTTTGGATAATCATCTCTTGTCTTTTGCAAATATTTTCTCCCATTCTGCAGCTTACCTTCTCATTTTCTTGACAGTGTCTTTCATGGAGCAAAAGCTTTTCATTTTAATGAAGTCCATCTTATCAATTATTTCTTTCATAGATTGTACCTTTAGTGTTGTATCTGAAAAGTCATCGCCAAAACCAAGGTCATCTAGATATTCTCCTGTTGTCTTCTAGGAGTTTTATAGTTTTGTGTTTTACATAAATGTAAATGATCCATTTTGAGTTCTTTTTTGGTGAAAAATGTAAGTTTCGTTTCCAGATTCTTTTTTTTTTTTTTTTTTTGCATGAGGATGTTCAGTTGTCCCAGTACAACTGGTTGAAAAGACTATCTTTTCTCCATTGTATCGCCATATTCATTTTGTTTTAAAGCCTGTTTCTGGCCACCTTAGCCCCACTCACTTAAGTCCTTGACTTCCATCTCTCTGACAAAATTCATTTTAAGAACTTACATGTCAGGCTCTGTGCTAGGCTGCACAGATGGAGAAGGATGGGACATGAGATCCCCAACAGCCAAGAGCTTGTAGTCTCCACTCTGGAGCTGTTGTTAGAAGTGCAGACCGATGGTTTCATCATGCCGCCTTACCAACAGATGCTTTGGTAGATGGGCTGGATGTGAAGCCAAATATTTGTGGGCCGAGGATTGAATGATGATAAAGAAATGGAGAGAGGAAGCGTAGGTTTCTACAAAGATGTTTGGTTGTAAAAGAAGGAGAGTGAGTGACAAGGACCCAGAGGGGAGGCTGAGCAAAGGGAAGGTCATTTAAGGATGGAAGCAATTAAGCAAGTTTATTGTAGATAAGGAGTAGATAAGACCAGGAGATTGAAAGAGAGAGATTACAAGAGTGATTGGGAAAGGATGAGAAAATGTTTGAGAAGGAGAGATAGATATACATACACATATGTATATATACACACATACATATATACATGTGTGCACACATACATGCATTTGTTTATGCATATACACATCTCTGAATATATATGTGTATACATGACATATGTACATATTATATATATATCACATTCACACACACACATGTAGAGAGAGAGAATTATACATGTGTATAATTTCTCTGTTTCTTTCCGTCTGTGTGTGTGTGTGTATTATCTATCTATCTAGCCATCCATCCATCCATCTTCCTATCTGCGTACCTTGCTATAGAGAGATTGAGATCAGTCAAAAAAGGGAAGATGAAAGAAGGAAAAATCATTGATGGAACGAAATCTAATAGGAAGAAGGAGGAAATGATTTGATCGAAAGCACAGGTAAAAACTGCCTTAGAGACAGGCGTGAGGAAGGTCAGGATGAGAAGGAAGAGAGGGGAGTCACTGTTCATGTAGGTTGGCCTCTATTCTCCCTGGGAAGATGGGAAGCGAGAGAGAGGTCAGGATGAAGATGGGAGCTGGAAGAGAGAGGTAGAGGTGTGGTGCACTTTCTCTTGGGCCTTCATTGTATGGGATCCTACGTGTCCCTTTTTACGTTTTGCAGAAGCACTCAGCCTGTGGGCGGGAAAGCAGGCAGCTGAGGGTTGGAGTGGTCTTGGGGTTGGGCCTGGGGGTGGTGGGAGGGCGACAGAAAGATCCAGGTAAGAGCCGAGTGAAATGTAGTTACAGTAGCCAGGCTGTGGAGAGAAAAGTGGATGTAAGTTGAGATTGATAAACAGGGGGAGCTGGAGAGTACAAGAAGCCAGAGGTCCCAGAGAGGTTGGGGAGTGGAGCACATTTACTTTGATTCCAAGGGTGAGAGAAGTAGAAGGATAGAAAGTTCTGGTTGGAGAGTGAGATTTCTGAGTGTGAGTCGTTCATCCAACTATCACTCAACATCAGCTCTGTGCACTTACTTTGGGAGGCTCTGGGAACAAAGAGAAGATTGAAGACGAGGTCCCCACCCTTGAGGAGTTCACAGCCCAGATTTCAGAGGTGGCGCCTTTCCAGGTGACGACAAGGTCCAGGATATGTCCCTGGAAATGGTTTGCTACAGGGGGTTGGAGGGAAAGGTTAGTGGAGCAAAGGAAGCCAAGCAGCTGGCAAGCCAGCATGTTGGATGTGTCATGCACAGGTGTTTATCAATCCTGCAGAGAAAATTGTGGTTTCTCTCTCCTCAGTAGTTGAGCAGGGCCATGTGTATCCTCTTCCCATCCTGTGATGTGAGAGCTATTTTTCCATTCAGACCTTTGTATCTCAGACTCTGTGTGACCACGCTGGGGTCAGTCCTTGGGTGGTTTTCATTAGCGAAGAGTAGAAGGTGAGTGGGTCTCAAAGACCTGCTTCACACTTTGGTGTGCGAGTCTCTGAAGAACTACCGATCCTGTGCTTCAAGTTTCCTTTTCTTTCTTGCCCTTAATTTCTTCACCAATAAAATAGAGATAGGAAGGTGCTGCAAATCTTTTGTGAGGCAGAGGCAGCTGGGATAACTATCTATAATGACGTAAATAAACAAGCGGAAGTCCGATGCTGCAGCAGTTGGCAGGAAGCAGTGTGGACAAACGAATGAGTGTGTACGCGTGGAACAGGGGATGCTCAGTGCTCCGGGAGCTCCGGGACTGATTTCATTCTTTCAATACACTTCTAAATGAAGCTTGTGACGTAAAGGACCATGTGGGACCCAGGCCTTTCAGAGGCCCCCACCGGCTTTCCTAGCTGAGTTGAACAGAGGCCTTGAGACTTCTGGATGGAAGGTATGGGCTTTGGGAATCCACATATCAGCATTTCCAGGTTTTTCTTGCCCACGCAGAGCTTCATTCATTTCATGGCGCATCTGGGCATTGCTATCTGGGAACTGAATTCCCTCCCTTCCTGTTCCAGAGAGGCTGGCCTGCAAACTTCACTGACGAGGGGCCACGCAACACATCCCACTAGCTGTTTTGTGGGTTTCGGCTGGCAGCAGAGGAGAGGAAGCATGTGTCTTTGATCTTTTACCCCGTGCTTCTCTTTCTGCTATGACCTTGGGAGGTTGGTTTCTCTGGTTGTCTGGTTCAAATTCCAGATTAAACTCTGGCAGTGGGCTTTATCCTCTCAGGGGATGCAATTCCATCTCTTCAGGGGTCCAAACAAATACCACCAGAGCTTAGCATGAACATGCTAAGCAGTTCATGATGATACCAGGTCTAATGCATGATGTAGTCTCCCAGGCACGTGATGGCTTTTTGATGTTTTCTGTGCTGTTTCTCTTTTTGTTTAGAGCCTGAGAAGTCAACTTGGGCCAACCAAGTTTCAAGACCTTTACTGCCTGATACCAACGTCATCAGGGATGAACTTTTCTTACCAGATATTTCTCTGTTCCTGACACACCTCTCCCCAGGTAGCTTAAGGGATAATGAGATTTTTTACCACCTCTGCATACTATGTAATGAGATAGTCATGTGCACAAGGGCTCACATGCCAGGGATACTCACTGCTGCTATGGAGATGTAAGATGAAATGTACCATCACCAGGCACATGTCATTTCACACATTTAGTGATTACACTCAATATACATGAGTGGACTCAAGGTTCCAGGGAATATGAATTTGCAGTGCTGGGAAGGAGGTTACCTCTAAAATGGAAGCCATGAAAATAGTAGACAATGCATGCAATTAACCGTCAGTCTAAGAGAGAGCGCTCATAAGACAGGTTGTCATCCTCATTGGGAGACCAGCGTGTGTTCAGGAAGACAAAATTCTGGGATGTAAGTAGTGGAAAGAAGCTGTTTCTTTCAACTGTGCTGCAATTTGTCAGTAATTAGGTGAAGGAGCTTTGGGTAACGGATGAAAGAAAGCAGTTGGAGAGTAAGGTTTGTGAGAATTGGTAGGTGCTCTCCAAAGAGAGTGTGCTTCGATGCTGGCTGACTGGCCGTAGAGTGTTCTCTAGACATGATTTTTCCCTAGAATGGTGTGGGGTTAATCCAATGGGTTATCACTGGGAGAAAGCCCTGGCTTTGAAAATACACGGGTCCTTAGGCGTAATCTATCCTTGCCAAGATAATCCCCAGGGTTGACTTGTCTAGAAGAGGACCTGATCTAGATCTTGTGCCAGCTGGCTCTCCAATTAGAATTAATAAACTGCTATTGGTGGATGATGTGTTCTCTTGAGGGCTTGGTTAATGTGAGTTGTTCTCCCAGAGCCCATTCAAATCTGGTCACTGGGAACATTGAGTTACTGGCCCAGGGCTTGGACCTGTAGCGTCCTGATCAAGGCTGCTGGGAGCTGCCAAGCGCCCCTCTCTCTGACACCTTTATGACTGTATTGGTGGTGTGCATGAGGTTCACAAACACTGAGAATTGCTTAGGCTGGTCAATGAAGTAATGATGTTTGTTCTAGAACAGGATTTCTTAACCTCAATACATTAACGTTTTGGGCCAGAAAGTTCTTTGTTGTGGGGGGTGCTATCCTGTGCATTGCAAGGTTTTAGCAGTATCCTTACCCCCACCCCCACTGCAGTTGTGACAGTGGAAAATGTCTCTAGACATTGACAAATGTCCCCTGGGGGCAAACTGCCCAAATTTGAGAATCGCTGTTTTAGGAGCTAGCCAGTGATCATGACTTCCTTGAAGAACAGAGCACAAATTTGCACTTGGAAGTGGATGAGAGCTTCATGCCCCTTATCTTTATAATGATAGGTGTATTAGTCAGGGTCCTCCAGAGAAACAGAACCAGTAGGAGGTGTATATATATATATATATACATATACATACATATATATATATATATTTATTTATTTGTTTATTTATATATAAAAGTAGATTTATTTTGAGGAATTGGCTCATGCCATTATGGAGGCTGAGAAGTCCCACGATCTGCCATTGCAAGCTGGAGCCCCAGGAAAGCCAGTGGTTTATTCAGTCCGAGTCTGAGGGCTTGAGAACCAAGAGAGCAGATGGTGTAAAGCCCAATCTGAGGGCCAGAGACAATGAGATGTGCTGAGATGTCCCAGCTCAAAGAGTGAAGCAGGAAAAAAGGGGCCAATTCCACAAATTCCTCCTTCCTCCACCACCTTTTGTTCTATGCAGGCCTTCAATGGATTGGATGATGCCCACTCCTATTGGGGAGGGCTGTCTCCTTCAGTGAGTCCACTGATTCAAATGCTAATCTCATCAGGAAACACCCTCACAGACACACCCAGAAATAATGTTTAATCTGGGCACCTCATGGCCAGTCAAGTTGATACATAAAGTTAACCATCACAGTGGGAGATGCAGAAATGTTTTAATTACAGGGCAAACCACCGGTGGAAAGTGTCCAGAGCTACCTGAAGCTGGTCCATCCCTATTAAGGGAGGGCTGAGGGTGAGGGTTTTGGGAGTAGACTTTGGCTCTGAGGTTCATCCCTTCTTTAACTTCTGCATCCCTGGTCTCCGTGGCAGCTGCCCTGAAAGAATCTCTGCCAAGTCCTGCCCTCAGTCTCGGTGTCCTCACTAAGGTGCTCTGTAACCACGTGGAGAACTGACTAACTGACTGTGGGGCAGTCCAGAGAGGACTCACTCTCCTCCCCTAGATCAGATTTGTAGAGTAGGCACTAAGGGCAGCTCCTGCTGGGCCTGTGCGGTTGTAGTACCTGAGTGCTCAGGCTGAGGGGGATCTCCGAGGTCAGGCAGAGCGCTTGGCAAACTCTACTGGGCATCCTGTAAAATGAGACTTTGATTCAGAGGGTCTGGGGTGGTGCCCAGGATTATGCAGATCTAACGAGCTCCCAAGTGATGTTGATGCTGCTGTTCCTTGAACCATACTTTGAATAGTAAGAATCCAGGTCAGAGGTCTGCAAACTGTGGCCTGTGGGCCACATTGGGTCTGCCACCTATTTTTGAAAATAAGTTTATTGGAACACAGCCACATTCGTTCATTTCTGTATTGTCTGTGGTGGCGTTCATACCACAATGGCAAAGTTGAGTGGTTGAGACAAGACTATATGGCCCGCAGAACCTGAAATATTGACTCTCTGGCCCTTTAGGGTAAAGGTGGACTCACCCCGTCTCTAGGCTGACTTGTGTCACATGGACCACCTAGGGTCTTCCTGGTTGCTCTTTAGGATGGGCCATCCAGAGGTGGTCTTTCTTCACCCTGCAATGCACAAGATAGGCCCCCCAACAACAAAGAACCTGCCTTCTTGACCTGCCTTCTTTGTCCCTCTTCCTCTTACCTCTGGCTCCTGCAACTCTCTCCATTAGCACCTGGGGCATGAGGAGACTTACAAGAAGAATTTTCGTGCCACAGTAAATCTTCCGCCTTGCATGTGGTCCTCTCAGAGTCCTGAGGAAGTGCTCTGCTTGGCACCCGACTCAGAGCCAGTCAGCCCTGGTATCCTTTTAGTCTTGAAGGTGGCTCACCTCAGACCTGTTCAGAGATACTCTCAGAGACTAATGTATACAAAGCTCATGCCTAATTGCTTTTTGTTTTTCAGCCAGCCAGCCAGCATTTACTGAGAACCTCCTTTCATCAGGTACCATGCTACATGCTTGGGTAACAAGCATTTATAAGATGCCTCTTCAGTCTAGGAGACAAACATGTAAACCAATGATTCTAATTACAATATCATAGGTGCAATATTAGAAGAGTATTTGGATACTTTGATACCTAAAGAGAAGGGTCTGGAGGATTTGGCGCTTCACTGCAGTAGACCTTTTTTAAAAAAAAATCATGCATTTTCATTAAATTTTACACAAACATATTTTTGCGTCTCTTAACGTCGTATGTTTTTCCTGTTAATCTATAAGTGTGACAGATTACAATTATTTACTACCAATATTTTATAACTGAGATAACATCTTTTACTTAAAATTAAACCATATTCATAGTGTGATATAAATCAGAATTTTGTAGACTTCACTTTTAATATTACTATAAGGTAATTCTGCTACCATTCCTGTTAACTTAAAACCAAAATTTGATTGCAGGATTCTTTAAATGAAGTAACTTTCAAAATTCACTGTTGTACCTCATTGATAACTTACTTTTATTATTATTAATTTTTAAAACTGTGGCAAAATACATATAACATAAAATTTGCCATCTTAACCATTTTTAAGTGTACAGGTCAGTGGCATTAAGTATATTTACATTGTTGTGCAACCATCACCATCATCCATCCCCAGAACACTTTCCTCTTGCAAAACTGAAACTTTGTACTCTGTACTCATTAAACAATAACTCCTCATTCCCCACTTCTCCCAGCCCCTGACAACCACTGTTCTACTTTCTGTCTCTATGAATCTGACTACTCTAGGTACTTAATATAAGTGGAATCAAGCACTATTTGTTTTTTTGTGACTGGCTTATTTCATTTAGCATAATGTCCTCAAGATTCATCTGTGTTTATAGCATGTGTCAGAATTTTATTCCTTTTTAAGGCTGTGAGTAATATCTGTGTATTATATACATTGCGTATATATACATTGTATGTATATACCACATTCTGTTTATCCATTCATCTATGGATGGAATACTTTTAATTGATTCTACCTTTAGGCTACTTGAATAATGCTGCATAATAATTGGTGTACAAATATCTGTTTGAGTCCCTGCTTTCAGTTCTTTTGGGTATATACCCAGAAGTGGAATTGCTGGATGATATGGTAATTCTATTTTTAATTTTTTGAGTAACTGCCATACGGTTTTCCGTAGCACCTCCACAATTTTGCCTTCCCACCAACAGTACAAAGTTTCCAATTTCTCCACATCCTCTTCAACACTTGTTATTTTCTGGGTTTTTTTTTTTTTTTTTTTTTGTGAGGAAGATCAGCCCTGAGCTAACATCCATGCCAATCCTCCTCTTTTTGCTGAGGAAGACCGGCCCTGAGC